GGTTTTGTTCTGGCACGTAAATGTGAAAGTGCTGGCTCATTTGTTGGCCACAAATATTGTTCCTTATCGGTTTTGTTCAGAACTGTTTTGGGATTGTAGATACTTGCACAAGATGAAAGGGAGAATTGGATGGTGAACACTGAAAAATGTAAACAATAAATATGAACATGAAGTTAACCTTTTTTTGTTCTTTCTCACAGTGAGAGAAAACAGGAAGCAACAAGCTCTGGAATGTAAGTAATGAATAAACATCTTTTTCTTTCGAAAAAGATGATTTAAATCACAAGCCTTCTAACTTTTATTATTTAAAAAATCTGAAAATCATTACACTGTGGTGGAGCATTGCTGAATTCTAGCAAACTTTATTCTATTGACACCAGTTGTGATTACAGTGATTAGAATACAGTGCTGTGTGAAAAAATACTCAACATTTTCAGTCCTCTGTACGTCATACAAAATAAAATCCAGTAACAGAACATTGTGAATGAGTCAAGATTGAACGCTATACAGTTGTACTGCAGTATATTTTGGGAGATTACAAGCAATGTACAAGTCGCCTTTTGCCATTGCGTATTTGTTTTATCAGCATCTGGCCACCATTAACCCAGTGGAGTGTCTAGTTGCAACTTTGTTGGATTCTGACAATGTCTGTGCTCTCCTTTCTTCATCGTCTCAACCCATCCATGGCTGGACTACTCAACTACCCCAACATCATCATGTGACATGAAATGTGCCAATGCGAAGTCAAAAACTGTCCGGCACTCCTTTCTGTTACTTTTATTCAAATGTTCATTATTGAATGTCATCTTAAATCATCAAATTATCTTCATTGACTTACACATGTATTATGAATAAGTCAGTCTTGTGTGCTAGGTTAACAGTTTTTGGTTGACTTTCTCTTTGGATATCAATCAAATATCAATTGATTTTGTCCTTCACGCAGTACAAACATACATGATCAGTTTGAAGGAATTTGGTTTCAACCATATTTTTCTCATCCCTCAGCAGAATTTCTCCTTGTTGTGAAGTGAAGTACTTTTTTTTCCTTCCTAAACACTGTACCAACTTTACCCAGTAACAAAGCACAGTATTTGTCACCAGCATACATGAGCGTGTAGAGTGCCTATATTCACACAAAACCTGCTGAGTGTGTAAGGTAAACTCACACCCTGACATTTCAACATTGTTTACTTTCGGCAGTTTTCAATAAATGTTTGAGAGTACTCTAGGAGCAATGGTACCAATTCTAGTGGTCCGGCAGGGCGTTATGTTGTGTATTGTCAGCGAAATATTTGAGATGATAAAAATCTGATTTAAAGGAGAGCTCAGTCCCTTTACGATTAGTTTCAGTGTTTAATTGATCCTCCATGAAAATTTGAATTGGGAAGTTTATTTAAAAGTTGCGGTTGCATGGGTTGCTAGAAATTTAAAGGGAATGTTTATCCAGAGATAAGTTGAAGATTTATTCCTTTAGAATTGGCATAGATTCTTAATGTGTGATCTATTTTACTTCTTCAGTGGATTTCATCGTTTTGGGAAAGCACTGTGCTTACTATGAATAGCCACGGCTGTTCTTTGTTCAACAGATTTTGCTGTGTACATCCTAGCAAATTATACTCATAAAATAACAAAACAGGATTTGTTACAATTGAAGACATTTTCATGCTATTTTAAGTCTCATTATTTGAGTGTTCCTGATGGGTCCGTGTAATTCTGTTAAGTGACTTCATTGGCCGTATTTAGTCTCAAAAAAGAAAAGTCAGATATTTTAAGGGTTTGCCACACATTTTAATCACTGAGGTCCTTCAATCAAGCAATATTGCACATACTACCATCCTTAACCTCAACCTTTGTTGTCAGCAATTTTATAGTTGTGGCCATCTCATGTGTGGGTGAAGCCACAAGCTGCTTATGACAAAATCATTTTGTTGTCGTTCACCCAATTAACTTTGACTGGATTTTGTGAAAGGATTTGTGATGGACTCGACTACGGCACTGGTCTTTGGCAAGTTTTATTGGAGCTCGTCTTGTTTTTTCTGTTCCTTCTTCGCCTGGGGGCAGTGCGAGGCCACCCTGGGGGGTGGGGATTAAGACAGATGAGTTTTGTCTCATTTCTTTCTCTCTAAAAAGCCTGCCAACAAAACCCAGCAAAATTGAGCCTTTACCCTTTGAAAGGACATGAAAAGTTACATAAAAAGCACAATTTTCTACCCCCACCCACCAACAAAAAACCCCAAATTTGCCCCTCCCCGGAGAGTTGGTTGTGGATCCGCCTTATGAGTGCACTACCCCTTGCGCTTTGTCATAATGGCGTCATGTGCAGTACACACAGTCTCGAAGGCGACTTTTAAAGAGCACCTCTAAGGAAATTGTTTTCTCAGATTTTATCGGTTCAAATAAATATGGAAGCGTCCAAATCAAACGTAGTGTCACTTGCCTTCAGAACTCAACTGTAACAAGCTAAAAGGGTTTTTTTCTAGTCATGTGAAGTTGCGAATTCTGAATGTAGTTTGCGTCATTCAGAGAAAACGAGGGAAACCTTCGGCCAGTGTTCGTAGTGGATAAACCCTTGTGCATGCCAAACAATGGCTTGGCGTGCACAGTCTATTTACAAGGGCAGATCGAGGGGGACTTTATTTTTTTAATGTAACCTTTCAGGCCTTTCGGAGGGGTGAGGCTACTTGGAGAACTTTGCATGCGTTTTGGAAGGAAGGGAAATGGAACTGACAAAAACGCCTTTTTATTTCATTTCATATTTCTCAGGGAATACAGACGCAGGGTACAAATCTATGTGAAACAACAGACTTAACATTTGCTAACACCCCTGAAGGATAACCTAAAAGCAAACTCAATCACTGTCGAGAGGGTCTGACGTTGCGTCCCACGCTAAGGTTGACCGCGACCTTACACAAGAGCACCGAGATATTGTTGCTAGCACTGTCCGAAGTTTCACTGACTCTGGTCCTTCCTCCATGCTCTGGTGACCTCCCCCCCTAACGCAACCAAACTGGTCGTTCCCAACCCACGCACGACAGTCTTCTACTTGCCACCATGGTTACCCAAGATCACAAACCCGGAAATCCAGGCCGCCCCATCATGTCTGCGTGTAGTTGTCCCACTGAATTGATATCCAACTTCATTGACACCATTCTAACACCCATTGTCAAAACGCTCTCCAGCAATGTTAAGGATACTAATCACACTCTACGTCTGTTCGATGAATAAGTGTTCCCAGGTTCATTCAACTATCTTTGTGCAGAACTGAATCTGCTTGCCCTGAAAAAGGTACTCATTCCACCAAAAAGTTTATTTCTACGGTGCTCTGTGAGTGCCATCCGACTTGTTCAGATAGAGATAATTCCCTAATTATGTAAAGGTTAATTACCTGAAATATAATTAGAATTATATGAGATAAGGGAGGGGAGATTCACCTCGTAGATTGCCCCTCGTGATGTAGTCTGATCCACCTTTGAAGTAATGGTATCGTCTTCCATTCACATTCAAATTTAAGTCAGTGCCCAGGTTCAGACCAATGCACCCTGACTCCACCTTGTAACGTTGTCTCTTTGAAGCTTGAATCGCTGCGTAAGATCAGGACTGGCGACGGTTTAGATTGGATCTCGGGAAGGGTAATAAACACTTTGCGTGTAGCAAAAGGAGAAAGAATAAAGGAAGGAGGGAGTTGAGTCTCTCCTCCCTTATCTCATATAATTTTAATTATATTTCAGGTAATTAACCTTTACATAATTAGAGAATTATATTTCGCTTATCTCGGAGAGGCTCACCTCGTAGACTTCAAAGCACATCTGCAATCTAAGCCTACGTCAGCACTCCTTGATCGTAGATCGTCTTGTCAGGATGTCTACAGTAAAAGTCTGCAAACGTCTTCGATGAAGACCAATCTGCTGTCTTCAGAATGTCACCCATTGTAACACCAGCAAGTTTTGCTGCTGAGGATGATGCACTCCTAGTAGAGTGTGCTTTATAGCACGAGGTGTCAATACCAGCTGCTGCCATGATCGATTTTAACCAGCGTGCAATGGTTGAAGAGGTCAGCATCAAAGCATCCACAGCCCAAGCAGAGGGATCGGGTCTGCACGAAAAAACTTCTGAAGTTGGGTGTTTAGCCAGCTTGCAAATAGGTCGACTTCTGGCTGGAACGCAAAGCTGTCCATGATCTTCCGGAAGATTTGAGGAAGAAGACACCATTCGGCACTGTCGTTGAACTGTCTCGACATCATGTCCACCGTGGCATTCTACAACCCCGGAAGATGCTCTGCCGAAATCACTATGCCCCGGCGAAGACACCAAACCCAAATCTGTACCGCCAGACGTGACAACTGTTGGTTGTGTGTTCCTCCCTTGTGAAAGATATATGCCACTGTCGAAGTACTGTCCTTGTGCACCCGAACGTGCAGTGTTGCTGCAACAGGCCAGAAGTGACTGGAGCGCATACCACACACTGCCAGAAGTTCCAAATAATGGATGTGACTGAACTGTTCTTGGCGCGTCCAGCGACCTCCCGTTTGGGTCTCGCCGAGGCACGCACCCCATCCCACCAGTGATGCATCGGTTTGAAGATGAAGGTCGGGGGGTGTCCTGCCGAAAGAATTATTGTCGACTCGTAGGACTTGCTCTTCTGAAGAACGCGGTTCTGGTCGTTTAGCAGGCAACGATAAAAAAGAGGCGCTGGAAGCACCGCTTGAATGGTTGATGACATTCGGCCTATAAGACTCGCTACATCGCGAAAGGTGAGGTCGTTGGACTGCTGAACTTGATGGCAGTGAGATACAATTTTGTACAACTTTTCTTGTGTTAGGGATAGTGTCATGTGCTCGGAGTTTATGACGAACCCCAAGTAAACAAGTTCTCTGGTAGGCTCCAGATGAGACTTGAAAAAAATTTAGCACAAAGCCTAGACTCTGTAGAAGCAGAAGGGTCCGTTGCACGTTCTTTCTGCATTCTTTGAGTGTAGCTCCCAACACTAGACTATCGTCCAGGTAGAACACACAAAGGATTCCCTCCTGGCGAAGGAATGCTGTGACGGGTTTTAGAATTTTTGTAAATGCCCGAGGAGAACTGGACAGGCCAAATGGTAGGCACGTAAACTGGAAAATCTGTCCTAGCCAAACAAACCGGAGAAATTTGCGATGAGGCGGATGTATCGGTACCGAAAAATAAGCATCCTTCAGATCTATGTAGGCTAGGTAATCGTTCGGATGTAGCAAACTTTTTACTCTTGTTAGCCCTCCATCTTGAAGTGATGATACTGAATAAATCTGTTTAGGGGCCGTAAATTAAAAATAGGCCTGAGATCTCCATTTTTCTTTGGAATGAGGAACGCAGAAAAAATGAACTGACCTGCAACTTGTTTCTCTCTGGTAATTGCTCCCTTTTCCAGCATTAACTCTATTTCTGCTGAAATAGATGCTTTCTGTGTTGCACCGGTGTCTGGAGAAGCTCGAGATGATACCCTTGGATGCTGTCTAATATACCTATGGGTCCTGAGTCACTAAAAACCACTGATGACGAAAATATTGGAGGCGCCCGGCCTGTGGACGGAGTGGTTTGTCGCTTAGTTTTTTTAAACTCTGCTGCTCAAACGAGCGAAAGCTACGTGCCGGTTTTGAACCATCACTCCCTTTGACAACTGGTGTATTACGGCTGAAGTTGCGAAAGGAACTGCGGCTGAAGGCACCACGACGTCCCCTGCTCTGCGAACGTGCCATAGCATGACGGTATGGCGCGAACCGCTTCTCCTTCTGGGTTGTAGAAAAGCCCTTCGTCACCTTCGCTGCTAATTTATTCGCTTTCTCAGTCTCTTCAATGTCTTTCATAATCGAAGAACCAAACAGTTCACTCATGGATGGGGAATTTTTGCGAAGGACATCAAAACGCTTATCCACAATCTCATCAAAAAGATGTTGACGTTCCATAGCCAAATTCTAGCTTGCCGAACCCAGTAGAATCAAAGCTGAAGTCAAATGTTCAACAACAAGATTTTTACTCACTGAGTCAGGGCACTCCGTATCCACCATAGCATCAAACAGATGAAGAGGTGGCAAAGCTGACTTCAAAACATGTCCATGGACCGACTTAAAGCGGTCGTCCCCTGAAACAAGGGACGAATTAGCTTGCTTGAAGACCTTCTTAATCCCAGTTGGCAGTTCTGGAGGTTCAAAGTGGCCTACTTGATAAACTGTTACCACATGAGACTTTATTTCCTCTTTAAGGTCGTCTGGAGACAGCTTATTCGTTCTAAGATCTTTCCACCAGTCTAACACTTTATCAGATAAGGGCGTACCCGTGTCTTTACGATGAGGGTTGCGAAAGGAGTCTGATGCACCCGTCGGAGTAACCGATGCAGTGGAAATTGAGGAAGAATTGTCATCCTCCCCACTTCTAATAATATCAGTCTCTAAAGTTCCAATATTTGGTTCAACATTGCTCTGATCAGGCAAATGCTGAGCAGGTTGAGCAGGCACATATTGCTGTTGCATGGGCACCATCCAAGGAACAGACATACCATAAGGAATATATCCAGCAAGAAATGAGACCGAGGGGTACCCCCAACATGTCCAATCCCTATACACATTCCAGACTATTGTTACTTAACACGTCCCCCCCCCAAGATGTCTGAAAGAAATTCCCCAGATT